TCGCCCGGCACCCTGCCTCGGCCGCCGGCGGGACAGGGCAAGGAGCCTGCCCCGCTGGTTGAGGATTTTAAGGTGTGTGAGGGGGACCAGGCCGCGCTGCAGGTGAGCCGACGTTTTTGTATTCTGTTGCCCTTGTTTACATTCTGGTGTTTCTGTCTTTCGGATCATTGTTAGTGTCTAAATTTATATTTAATGAATGGAATGGAAAGAAGAAAGCCTTTGATGCTTTGAAATCACTGCATGTTATAGCTTGACTTCAGCATGGCCAGTTTGGCAGAGTACAGTGCATGCATTTGTGCCTAGGAACAAGAAGGATTTTTCACTTTTTAAATACTTTTTTAAAATTATCCTATGAATATACTCCCATTGGAAGGAACGGGTTGACTTCTTGTCAGCAAAACCTCTCATAGGAATACATGGGTTGACGAGGTGTTGGAAAAAACTTCCATAGGAGTTGTGGGAAGAGGAGATGGAATTCCAATGGGAGTTTAAATATCTGTTCTGTGAAATATTTTTAGTCAATTGCTATTAGAAGCTACTCTATTTTTTGAGCCATATAAATGTGTTATGTAGAGCGCTTGATATATTATGTTTCTTTCGAAGTCAGTTTTACTGATGGTATTGCAGCCCTTCCTTAGCCCAGAGAGTGATCTTTCCTTTTTAATATTTTAATTTAAAGGATGATCTTCATGTCCATTAAATAATATCATTCGTTTCTGCCCTAATTAATCTAGGTTTCCAAAACAGTATCTTTCCTACTTTTTGAGTGGTTTGAGTAGTTGTTTTTACTCATTATACAGCTGTTAGGTATGACAGTGTCATTAAGCAAATCTTGTATGCATGAGCTTCGTCGAATTAGGCCATAAGATTTACTTTATTTTATTTGAAAAAAGTGTATGCTGTTTATCTTTAATGATTATCAACCTATAATTCTCTGATCCTAGAGGACAGGCCCTTAGTGGATGGCAGGTATAATCTTTGGGCCCTTTTGCTTTTAACTGGAAGTGTACAGTGAGAAAAAAGGAGCAGTAGTGCTGGTGTGAGAAAAGAAAATTGTGCGGTGTTGCTTCTGAACAGATCTCATTTGAATAATCATATTTGAGTTTATTTACTACCCATTCTTTTTGGAAAATATACAAGTTTTTATTTCCTTTTTAGTTTTGTGTGTTACCATGGAATTTTCATCATTTCCTTCAATTTGGCATGCACAGAAACAAGTACTTAGAAAGTGCAGTCTTCATATTAAAATAGGAACGACAATTACAGAATAATGTGCTTATAAATGTGCATGTTCCAGCTTTCAGAGAAAGAACTGGGGGGATCACACAAAATTTATTCTATGCCATAGACATGTGTAATATGTTTTATTGTTATATACTGCAAATATCAAAATTACAAAATTCGGACACTAACAGAAAGTCTATATCATCTTTTTAAAAAGTAATAGTATCTGCCTGTATTTTACTTGTGTTCTGTTAAGCTTTGTCCGAGTTAAAGGATTGGATGAACTTTATAAAACAAACTATATTGTTTTAATAGGTACTATTTTAAAAAGTATTTTCATAGTTCTTTGTAGGAAAAAAATAATTTCTTCAATTAAGTATAGTAACATGGTTACTAACCAGTAGATAAAATATTTTTGAGTTGATATTGTGCTGTAAACAGAGTATATATATTCTCTGTTTCTAGTAGTGGTAATAGCCTATGGAGATTATGTCTACCAGGGTCAGTAAGAAAATGATGTCTCCTGTTTTTTTTTTCCTCGAACAAATATTATTGAAAAAAGATTAAACTCGAATGGAAAATATGTATATAGTCACTGATGAGATGCTATTTTTCAGCATAGTCTTCTCCATCATTGGCCATTTCCTGGTGGTGAATAAGGGCATGTATCTCAGTATTGTAGAAGTCTTTGTCCTTGTTCCACAGCCACTGTGACAACCTCAGTCACTTCAGTATCATCCTGAAAAGGCTGCCCCATAATCTGCCCTTCACCCTGAGCTGTATGGAGAATGGGGATACCACAGTCTGTCCAAAGGTTGAGACTTCCTCTCTAGTGCACAAGCTGGTGTGTGGGTGAGCATTTTTTGTGCAGAAGCAGCACTTCATATATGCCTCTTTTGCCTAAGGAAGCCACAGTTAGTTCTGACGCCGATGGCAAAATCCGGAATAAAATGAAACACAGTATGCAAAAAGCCCAACAAAGTCAACAAAAGAACACTCTCCATGTCCATGGTTTACTCAAAAGATAAAAGGAGGCATTACTTTCGGACTGATCCTCTAGGTAGTCACGGTTCCGGGTGATTTTCTTATTTGAGAATAACCTAATCATTCTCTCAAAACGATTCCAATCTGTTCCCTATGTATCCTCCTCTTGAGAATCTGACCTGAATTATTGAATACATCTGGAGAAAAAACGACCTAGCCATATTTTTTTGTTATTATTCTTTGTTTGATTAACTGCCTTCCTTATCCGTCACTTGTAAGTAGTACCTCTTGGCTAGTATTTGAAAGGGTTTAGGAACCCTTGAAAGGATAAGAAACACACTGAAGGCAGTTGAGAGATTTCTTTCCACTTACTTCTATGGCTTTTCAGTTAGATCCAAAATACTTTTATGTTGTACTGGGATAATGTTGTTTTTTTTTTCTGGGGATGGCTTGCACAGTAATGATCCTGCCTTGAGCAGAGAGCTACCCGACCTACCCATGACTTTTCCAGCCTTGTCCCTATATTCTTTATTCTTTGAGTCCAAGTCTTAAACAAGTCCTGTCAACATAGAAAAAAAACATATTATCCCCACTTTAAAAATGGGACAGGTCAGACAAGAGGTACATGCGGCAACTTTTTTAAAACTTGGATTGTGCAAATTTACACACAGTCTTTATTTACTCCATCTAATAAACCTCTAATTTTCACAGCTGGGAGCTAGAAAAAATCCCATTCAACTCCAAATGAAGCCTCTTTGCACTTCACTGAACACCAACCCGTTTGTTTTTTTGTAGTTAAGTATTTAATTTTTCTTGGAGTATCCACGTTAAAAAATACGGACCTGAATGGCTTAGAAAATGTCACAGAGAGCACTTTAGGGTTGAGCTGAGAAAAAAAAAATCACTTACTCCCAGGAAGTCTCTCTTACTGCAAGCTCCAGAGTTTCGGTCCACCCAGCTCTGCAGAAACCCTGTCTCAGCCCGGTCGGGGAGAAGATGGACCCTCTGTTAGCTTCTGATTATTTAAAGAACAATGAGGGAAATCAGATTTTTATTCTGGTGAGTTTCTTTCTGTATATCTGAGTTCTCTAAAAAGCTGAAATAATACTTATTATTTTTCCCCCTCGTTATGGTATATATCCCTAAAGGTTCATGTAAGTTTGAGTGAGTCTGTTATGTTGGGCTTATTGTTATCGCCCTGTTCCCTACATCTTTCATATTTGTCCATATCTTTTTCTTCTGGAGACGACCACAGTTCACATCTTTCTCGTGTTTGATCGCATCCTCGCAGAAAGCAGTGAAGTTCCTCAATGGAGTATTTCGGCGTTTCTTCCCTTTAAATACGAATGCTAACTTACTTATGGCTACATAGTGATAATATTACGATAAAGTGTAGGCAGAAGAATGAGAACAAGGCACCAATGAAATGTAGCAGTACCGGTGTGCATATCTGGGTAGCACTGTCTTAAACTGTATGTTTGTGCAATTTAAGTGAAGCATAATACAGAAAGTCCCTTGTTGCAGGAGTCATTGTTATTTACAAAAAGGAGGACACAAAAGAAAGAAGGAATAATTCTGAGATTATTTTATATCCACTACCTGAAACATTTTTGATTGAGGATTCTCTCTTCCGGTAAACATATACATAATTACTTTGTCTTCTTGAGTATCATATTGGTATTCCCAATTGTGGTATACCTCACTCTGTAGACTGAAATAATATTTCTGATTTGCTGCAGTTGACACCGAGAATGTATCCAGCTTTTTAGCATATACAATTGTGTATCTGAAATGAAAATGTTGCCCCATGCCTTGAAAAAAGGGGTCAAGGAACCGTAGAAATTTCAAATACGTTAAAGGAAAAGTTTTTGTTGCACCCGGTTTATCATTCCATAGAGGCAACGTTTCCAATAATACAAATATAAAAATAAGGCTTTTCTGCAATTAACTATATTGGGCACTGAAATATACTAATTTCACAAAAGCAGGCGACGTCTAGAAGTAGTGACCTTCCCAAATGTATTTTGGACGTGTGCAAATCTCTGTGACATTGCGGTGGTCACCCACGCCTTCCGCCTCCTGACCTGCCCGGACCCGAGAGTAAGTATCATCACCCCAACACCCTCGAGGAGACCACCCACAAGAGGATCGTAAGGCAACCAACCAGATGTGACTTGGCCACCTTCCTTAGCGACTCGCTGGAGGACAAGTTTGGCAGATATGGTGGGGACTTTGCCTCACTGTGGAGCCAAGCCCGCAACTCCACTCACTGCCTCGGGAAGTGCATCGGCTGTGCCTGGATTTGGACCGAGGAGTGCGGGGAGCTGGGAGTCTCCCTGCAACCAGCCCCACATGCCGACTGTGTCATCATGATGCCCCGCGTGAGGACCTTCCTGAAGAGGTTCCTGAAGGATGCCATCTGCAGCAAATACGCCTGTGACCTGAGGGCCAAGCCCAACCAGGGCAAGGTCTTCGACGTCTCTTTGAAGTGGGACACCAGCAACCGCTTCATGCTCAGCTTTGCAGACTTGTGCTTTCTCCTCCACAACTGCCTGCCTCTGAACGGGGCCACTTTGGCCACTGGGACAAGACGCGCTGATGCTGATGGACATCCACTTTGGCCACTGGGACAGGAGCTGCTGATATTGTGGCTACTCAGCAGAGACCCTCCCCCACATGCTGTGCAGCTGCAGGCCACACGCCAGAGCCTGGCAGCTCTGCCACAACTCTGTCCAGGGCCACCTGGTGAGGGCCATCCCGGCCGCAGCGGGGGAGATCTCTGTGAACCGCAGGGTCCTAGGCTGCAAGAGCCAGATGCGCCCCACCATCATGACCATGAATGAAGAGGCCAAGAAGATCATAATTGTGGACACGACCATCCCCTCTGAGAACCAGCACCAAGCCTTCACCGATGCCCCGGCTCACAAGCGGAGGAAGTACTCCACGCTGGCTAACATCATAAGAGCCCATGGCTACGACGTGATGGTTGATGTGCTTATAGTGGGAACACTCAGAGCCTGGGACCCCAGCAACGAGTGCATCCTGCCGCTAGGCCAAGCTGATATGCTGCCTCATGGTGTCCCACATGATCTACTGGTCCTGTGACACCTTTGTGGAGCACATCACAGGCCACCGCCAGTACACAGACCCCACCAGACTGACTGCCACGGGGCCAGACCCAGAGGGGACCACCTGAACCCCCCACTGCACCTGATGGACTTCACTTTGAGAAGAACCTTCAGCAACAGAGCACCCCACTGCACCCGAAGAGGACCCCCAGGATGAGACTCTATATGGACTGAGAAACTTTCTTCAACCTACTTCCTCCATCATTGCGGACCATTGTATGGGTTTGTGTATATCCATCTTCTTTCTCTCTCGGCATGGCAACCCCTAGATGGCTAACCTTGTATTTTCTGTAACCTAGTTGTTCCCCTCCTCACCCCCATCCCTCTTATGTTAGTCCCTCGCTCGGGTGATCTGGATTTCCCTACTGGCTTTGTCATCTTTTTGGACTCATAACTCTTAACATCTACTAATAACGTCCAGCATGTCCCCGAAGATTTCCAGCCCTGTACAGTGATGGCTCTAATGAAAACATGAGCCCGAGATGACAAAGGAGAGGGAGAAGTCGCCTGTGGCCTTCAAGACAACGTGTTTCCGGGGCCCGGCGCTGGGTACAGGATCTCGGGCGCGTTGTCGTTCCGGTCCAGGATGAACAGGCGCACCGTCACCCTGCTGCTCAGCGCCGGCGACCCGCCGTCTCGCGCCT